ATCTAACTATACGTATTCTATGTTTGTAAATCCTAAACCTATTGCTTTTCATAACCAACTAACATAAACCCTAAATCTATTATTTTTCATAATCATCTTAAATCTTGAATGTGTCATCTTCATTACCATCATCAACGCTATCGAACTTGAAAGTTTTGCTTCAAGTATAACGTATACTTCATCATCTTATAAGTTTATCTGTCTTGCATTAATATTCTCAGTCGTTTTCGGTTGTTCTTGTTTCGTTCGAGCTGTTCGGTACTGGTTTGTTGACTGTTAGAATTATGTTCTGTAATACAGTACTGAACATAATCCTTTCGTTCAATACATAGGTTTCGAACATTAATGCAGATAGTCAGTTATGTAATTTTCTTTGTTAAACTAACTTAGAATGGAAAAGAGTAAATTGGAATGGATTTAAGTTATGTATTTTGAATGGATTTAATTCATGTTATTTTAAGTTGTGAATTGGAATGGATTCAAGTTACACAGTGATGAACAAATTTTGTTCGGACATACAGTGCTGACAGGATCATTATTGTTCGACAAAACAGTTCTGAACAAAATATATTTTTTTGGCTACACAGTGGTGAACAAATTGTTTTGGGCTACATTCAGAATTCTGATGGCGATTTAGACGATAATTCTGATGGTGATTTAGATGATGATTCTGTTTTTCCTAATCTTGCAAACGGTTATACAAATCCCGTAGAAATTGGAGTATCTTCGATCGATCTCAGTGATGACGAAGATACAAAAAGCAACGAAGAAGATGGTGATGAAAGGATAAGAGGTTACTGATTCGGCGATACGGAGAGCGTTCAGAGAAGATGAGAGTCGTCGGAATGCTCCGTTGACGGCCGAGACGACAACGAGAGTGATGAAGGGTTGGGGTCCAAGAATTCTATACTGGACCAAAGCTCCAAACTCTGAAGATTGAGTGAGTCAGGGAAGGAGAGGGATGAAAAATTAGGTGGGTGTGCATTTCATTGTGAAAAAATTATGAATATGGGTAGATTTGGTAATAAGTGGAATGTCTAAAAAAATATTATTAAAATTTAGGGTTTAAGGTTGGGGTCCAAAGAAATGGGGGGTCCAAAGAATTTTGATAGGTGCTAATAACATCACTCTATTTTTTTGCGTGGTTTCAATGGGGGAATGTCAGCTTGTCTCTCTTTTGGCTTCAAAGACGACGCACTGAGTCTTGATAGAAAGCAAAGAAAATTTTGGTGCAAGCATTGAGATATACTTGCATATATGTAGCTATGTCATTTAATTGTCATCTTGTCTTTATTGCATCGAGATATAATTTTTAATCATAACTGTTTTCGAACTCATAACCTATTTGATATATTTATTTGCAATCATACCAACGATTCATGAGATTGGGTATGCAAGAATTCATAGAAAGCATGCTTAGATTTTTTTTTTCTTCCCTTTTTGGAATGTCTTTAGGCACGGGTCATTCGCTAATTGTCTTATATGAAAATGAATTAAAATAGCGAATGACCTTGTGCCTGATTGAGGATAAAAAATCTTAAGTTGCGTTTGGTAGAGTTTTCTAACTATGATTTGAGAGTAGGACTTGTGTTTTGAGTTTGTGAGTTTTGGAATTATAATTTGAGTGTAAAAAATTTGTTTGGTGAAAGAATTTTGAAAAGAGTTTTGAATTGAGTGGGGAATTGTTGATGTGACAAATGATATTTGATATAAAAACTTACAACTCATAACCAAACATATAACTCAAAATTATATCAAAACACATAAAAAAAATTTAAAAATTCGAAAAATATTTTTTTCGAATATATAAAAATTAATATAGGTCAATTGCAGCAAAAAAAAAAAAAAAATTTGCACTATTCCAGTCAACCGGTCGGACGATCGGTGGGACGACCGGCTAAGCCAAATTTGAAAAAAAAAAAATTTGAAAATCGCACTTGAGACAGAGTTTTCTGTAGAGTTTTATCTTGGTTGTGGAAATACAATTTGAAAGGAGTATCCAAATGTGAAGTTAGAATGTGTGGGTAGAAAACTATTTCCAAAATCGTTCCAAACATAGCCTTAGTGTCTTTCCAAAATTTCCACCAAGATTGCTCACGAAAATTACAAGGTAAGTCATTTTTTTTTTTTTTTAATTTTTTTGTTTCTTCGCATCTGGATTGTAACCCATTAAGTATTTTCTATCTGTGACACTTAATTATTGAAATTAATTTTGGGGAAATTGCAAATAGTGTTAAGATAAAAAAAAAATTGCAAAAATCCTGGGAAACTTTATCACTTAAATTATTAAAGTTAATAAGCTTTATCATTGATTTGAAATTTTTTTTGAAAACTTACAATGAATTGCAATTTCCCCATTAATTTTTAGATTTTATTATCGATTTTGGTATCAATGGTTTTACTTCGAAAAGTGGAGAGAAGAGTTGACAATTTGTTTTTGTAATATGGTGAATGTCTTCTAGGCCTTGCCGTTGCTGTTAGCTTTAAATTTATCATACTCTACCTAAATATGGGATTTATATTTATTTATTTTATTTAAGGAAAGTGTTTTTTGGTTTGAAACCATATGAAGAGTAGTCGTGGAATTTTTGTAACAAAATATAACTGATTATACTTTAGAAAATTGAGTCTCTTCATTTTTTTTCTTTTATTAGTAGCTATTGTTTGTTTGATGAATAATTTGCTCTCTAAGATAATCGATAAAGGAAAATAGTAATCACTCTGTTTGGTTTCCATTTCCATAATTCACTTTTTTTAAAATTCTACTTTTTCGTTTTCTGTATTTTTTTGCTTTCACTGATTTTTTTTAATATTTTAAGCATTTTTTAAAAAAAAAAATTATTAGACACACCTAACATAAATACACTTAAAAATTATAATATTTGTGAAAAAAATCTTTAAAAAATTCACTAAATACCAAGATACCAACAACAAAAAAAAAAAATGAAAATTCAGTAGATTTTTCATATTTTTGTGTATTTATTAATTTTTAAAAATATTTTTTTCACAAATATTTTACTATTTAGATACATCTAAGTAACGTGCATCTAAAAAAGTAAAAAAAAAAATTTCTTAAAATTTAAAAAATATTTACTAAAAAAAAACAAGAAAAATAAAAAACTCAATTTTCAAAAAAATTAAATTTAGAAAATTGAAACCAAACACACCGAATATGATTTTTTCCTAGTCTTAGAACATTAGGAGGCATGGTAGCATGAATGTTTATAATTTTTATTGAACAATTGATTAGTGTTGGCCAATCCATCCAATCAATTGCACAATCGATTGGTGGTGGACAAACCTTCCAATCGATTGGTGAATGGATAAGTGTTGGCGAAGCCATCCGATCAATTGGACAATCGATTGGCGTGGCCAATTCTTCCAATCGATTAGTTAATCAACGCTTTGCAAAATTATGGATGTGGATTAGTTAACTAATTTTGTTGAGTTGTAGAAAAAAAATCTTCGGTCTATACGGTGCCGGTGGCTGCCAATATTATGATAGGATACATGGCATTAGAGCCCATGCATTATATCCAATTCATGTATCATTACTTAACTAAGGTATATGTTATGCCATTTAAGCGGATGTTTATGAAAATTGTTAATTACCCTAGCTAAAAAGGACAACCAAGTAGTGCTGGATTTTTCTTGAAGTAATAGGTCACGTGCCATTTGATCAATGGACATGACATCAACTTTTAGTATTCATCAAATTGTTTGGGTCTGTTCTGTTATAAACTACATGATCAAACCTTAGAAAGTCAAGCAAAGCTTCATGACGTTTTTCTAGATTCAAATTCAAATATAGCTTTTAGATAATTTTTCATTTTTACGTGCATCTCAAGTTCCTGAAATATTCAATTCTTATTTTGATGACAGGACCTCCCTGATTATATCCCATTAATACTCAATCCACTTCAGAAATTTCAGAGGTATTTGATTTCACTTTCTAATTTTTTGGCTCACCTTTATATTTCAGCTGCCTTTATATTCCAGTCCATTCATGGTAAGTCTTGAGTGATTGCTTGGCTTGTATACTATTTGTTTCCTTTTTTTATTACCATTGTGCTTTTTACCTTTGAGTAATTAACATGATGATGGTTCACATTATGAATCATTTATGATGTGGAATTAATATGACATGCAGATTCCTCTTTTCACTCTTGATCTAATCTTATCAATACCTGTTGTAAATTTGTTTGAGCCTATTGTAAATTTGTAGTAGTTTGAATATCTAATATATATCCTCCTTGTCTAGTTGATTTCACATCTGATCTTTTATTGAGGATCATGTAATTTTGTTTTTTAGATGTGTTAAAATGATTGGTTATTATGTATTTGTGGCATTAGAGAGTGTTGAGCTGAATGTGTGTTGTGGTTAAAGTATGGAGAGAATTATTGTGGGGAGGTATTGCTGTTGCTTTTGGGGAAGGAATCACACATCCAATCCAATTGATACTGTAAAGACAGGGATGCAAAGTCAAGCCATTCTTAGTGGATGTCAGGTATAAGCTGTTAAGTGGGTTCAATAAATCATGATATCGTATGGAAAATGTATGAGAGTTAGGCTTTTGAATTTTAAAAAATAGTAATTTTCCTTGTATAAAGTTCGGGGTAGTGTTTGGGTCTGCAACCCCTTAAGGGTTGTACACCATATGCACCTTCATTCTAAACCCTTATACTATGTTTGATTGGAAGGATTAAAGTATGAGATTGGAATTATTAATCCGTGGGTCCAATCATCCTATGTTTGTTTTGACATTTTGGTTTAGGATTATTAATCCAATGGATAATTAATTCAACAAATTTATAGGATTATTAGTAATGGGATAAGGGTGGAATAGTTAATACCACACTAATTTGATAGGATTATTAATACCTCACTATTAGTGTTGTGAATCAAACATGACCTTTTAGGTTACTCAAATATCATCTTAGCCATAAAAATATTTAATGGTTAAATATAGGCAACTGGAGCAACCGGTTAAACCCTCACCCTTGAGCTATCAATCCTTTGCCTCTGCTCTCACTCTCTTGTCTCTTTCTCTGCTGCTCTCACTCTAACATCAATCTCCACTGTCGAAGTTTAACGAATACGAGCCCTAGCTCTCAATCTTTCTCACAAAACTCCTTGAAATTCCATGGAGCTTTCTCTCAAAGGCTCTTCTCTCGAGGGCTCTGTCTCAGAAGGTGTTCCATCTCAATCTCTATCTCACAAGTTGTGCCCGCTCTATCTCAGATCCGAATCTAATTTTTATTTTAGTTCTGATTTGCTTTTGTATTTGATTTTCGTTTTTGGTCTGATTGACATTTGTATTTGATTTTAATTTTTGGTAAAGTTTGAATTTGAAGGGTTCATGCCCTAGCTTTGCAGAATTGACTCTGCCTGCTACTTTAGGTACTCTTGGCTGCGACTTTGGTTCATCACAATGCTGATTGATAGGTCCTATTCACAAACAGCAAGCTCCAGACAAGAATGGATCTCTCTTTTGGTCCTCTTTATAGATATTCAACATCTTAGGTGAATTTTGCTTCTTTCCATAGCTTTAGTAATTGTTGATAACTACGGAAAATAGCTCTTAGTAAATATTTAAATAAGAATTGTTGCAATGTTAATTTCTATTAATTTAAGTGTTAACATGTTTGCCATGGTGAGTGGAAAAATGTTCTCAAATTGAAAATCAAATGGAGAGGAAAGGATTTTCAGGACTCAAGTCTAAGGACTGCATAATTACTTATCAAACTGTCTTGTCAACCTTTATCTGTTTGCTAAACACTACTTGGTGAATGCTCATTATGAGATTGACTTGGGATTCAGTTTATAAATCTTCAGGTATGACGTTTCGAATTTTTGGATTCATTAAATTATTAAAAAAGCATATGATGTTAATTTATTTTTTTCTTTGGTTTTTTAATATGTGGATTTCATGGTATTTATTGGTTCGTTTGCTCATTATTCAGGTTTAAAAATGAAAATGTTTGTTTAAACGCTTCAAATTTTAATTACTCGGAAACATTACCAAAGCCTGTAATTTAGGTCCATTATATATATATATATATATCTATTACCCTTGAGTAATAGAAACAAAATAATACATATCATCTCTCTCAATGAACACAACAATAACAATAATAAATGTCAAACTTCCATCGCGGAGCTACAAATAAATAATTATAACTATCAATACACCACATTTACTTCCTTCACATCCACAACGAAATTACACAAACAGACTTATGGACTTCTTAACTCTTCAACTGTGAATCCAAAGCCTTTTCCTGAAAAACAAATAAAACAACAAGGGATGAGCACGATTTGCCCAGTAGGGATTGTCACACCCCAAATCCGAGCATGACCGGCCGTGGCCCATAGGGACTTAGCCCAAGGCACACGTAAGCCTAAACATGAACCCAAAACCATAAAGAATAAATGTGATGATAGCCCAGAAATAAATAAATCAACACTCAATCCAGTGACACACCATAAGTGAAAAACAAGTCATAACCAACTTCCTAAAAATATATATATACTAAATGGGACACAAACCGCCTACAAAATAAAATAATTCTATATAAAATCCAACCACAATGTATGCACAAAACTCGACAAAGCAACCTAAAACAAATTAAATAATGCCCTAGAGGTTCATGCAATTGACTCCCCGCTACGCCATGAGTCTACTCTAAGTCCTTCTAACACCTGAAAATGGTAAACAACTAAGTCAGCTGATAGCTCAGTGAGTAGCAACATGGATAGTAAATACAATTTTGAAAACATGGCTCAATTCCAAAATAAGATATATATCACAGAAACTAGATTGGCATACAGTTTGGTAAATACAATCTATTTCAAAAAGAAGGTTCCACAATTCAACACTTAAAATACTCATGTCTCGCAAGAACATGATAAACGACATTTTCCACTTAGAACAGATTATAACATGAATACCAATAATTTTCTGGGTACCAATAAAAACAAATAATCTGCCACACAGTTCTCAAGGCTATAAGCCCCGTTGGATTCAATATCGAACTAAGAGTCATCCTCAGGGTGGCACCTGGGCCTTTTCTCAAAGACGATCCGATTGAAGGTCACCTAGTTGTTTTTAAAGGTCTTTTCCTTACAATCGTTGAGCACTAGAGTCATCACGGCCCAACCCGGATCTGTTCCCTAGTGGCCAGAGTCACCACACAGTGGAATAATTTCCCTGGACTAAATACACACATGGTCCCAATAATCAATACACATCAGTTTGGCAAAACATGGTAGTTCATCATTATAAACATGAGACCAAAACAAATAGTTTACAGTATGCCAAGTTCACACATGTTTCAGAAATAATTTGATTTCATTGATAATATAATAATTTATCAAAACAATTTAGTCTTAAAACAATAATTTAATTTTCCAACAGTTCAGGGTAGGGGAACATTTATAAAAATACGTAACATGAAACTACTCACTTGAAAACCAAAAAATATAATCCTCGAATAGAGTGTAAAAGTCCAACTAGTGCCCTGAACCAAGTATAAAAAACTACACGTCACAACTAATTTAAAAATACTAAAAATTAGGAACTAAGTAACCTCAACTAAAGCGCACTAACACGGCTCAACCCAACTCAACGTTACTCTTAAATATTACCTAAGTTCATGTTCTTCAAGGTTTAAAATCACTCAAGACATGGGTTCCGGTCAAAACTTAATTAATTGCGACTTTAAGATAAAACAGAATTTCAAACAAGCCTTCACAACCTATTCGCTAACTTTGAAAATTACAAAACCCACTCCACGCTATTCAAAAAATTCCAATAACCTCCAGATATGATCTAATATATCCTAAGTTTCAAACCCAATTGGTTTCACTTGATTTGCTTATCAAAATAATTATCTACAATTTATTATATCCAAACAGATTGTTTTCTGCAGCACTTTAAAGAAATTGACGGTTCTCTTAATATACACGAGCAATCAATGCAAGGCCAAAAACGTACGAAACTAGACTCATAAACGGTTCTAATGACACTAATTTGATAATTTTTGGATTTATACCCAAAGAGAACAACACTCCCGAATTTACTGTTTCGAATTGGTTTCCTGGACAGATTTGTATACCTCAATTTATATGGATTATGACTCCCAAAAATCATGAAAAAATTCAGATATGCAATTCAATATGTAATTAATCTAATGTAAAAATTTCATATTAAAATTCATCCGTTTGATATGGTTTCTTGATTTTTAAAGTTCGTGATTATGCGCAGAATTTTTTAACTAAGAATAATACCCATTCTTTATACATGAATTTAACTCCTCAAATTTCTTAACAGTATATGTATATACAAAATATATAAACCTACAACCTCCATGAATGAATAAAATAATAATGGAATAAGGATAAAAACAAAACCAAAAGGAAGAAGAAAGATAAAGACCTACCACATACCAAAAAATTACTCCTTGTTTGCAATCCCCTTTTCTTTTCTTCTTCTTTTCTCTCAAACTCTCTCTCTCCCCGTGGCTACTGTGGCTGCTGTTATAGTGTTGATTAGGAACCCTAGTGTTGTTATATATTGTATTAGGCAACCTAGGGTTACTTTATATATCTAAACAAAAGGCCCTAAATTATTATCTCTTAATATTATTTTATTTTCTAACCCATTAATTTAAATAAAATATAACTATTACTAGATCAAAATATGCTTACTAATTTGGCACTTAAATTTATTTATTTATTTATTTTATATAATAAATCTTGCCTCTAAATTAAAGACTTTCACCATAAATTTATTTTAAGTTTAAAATTAATTAAAAGATCCTCCAATAATATTTAATTTGCACCTTAGAATTCACCACCAAAATATTTGAGATTGTAATATTATTATTTAATTATTTACTTAATTTTTATATTTGGGTTCTCACAGGGATCTCGTAGTTCTACAACAATAACTAACCCACAGATAGAAATGATCATGCATGCAGAGTGATATCATATACTAAAGTGACATTTTTTAATTTCCAAAATATGATAAGTAGAGTACTATTTTCTCAAAATTTATTTGAACGTTTAAAGAAACCTTTCATCTTTAAAACTTATTCCTCACCATCAGAAAAACCATAATTCCTTTTTTCCAACAAATGTGCCTAAGGAACAACATCATTTTAAATTTATTAACCAAATTTCAAAATATTCTTCATTTCATTTCCATTTTAATATTCCTCTTTTCATTCCCTTCTGTAATTCACAATTATTATATCTTCATAACCTCAACCTCAGAGTTCAAGTTCCCTTAATACTCAAAAACACCCCTCATACACTCCGTTCCTTCTTGTCCATCATTTATTACTATAACTCTGTAACGTAAAAATCTCAATCTCCTTTTTATTCAATAACAATTCTCCTACACTCAACTCCTACTTGTCTAACAATTACATCACATCCACATTTGCATTATTAATTATAATTCAACATAACACAAGAATAATAAACCCATTTAATTCAATTTCTCAATTAATTACAAATACAAAACTTTTAATCTTTCTTTATGGTACAAATAACCTGATGAGTTTATTATCACCAATCCCTTATCCAATTACTATTTCATTATCCATTCTTTTCAAATAATTACCATATGCATTTCCCCTCCGTACCAAAGTACACATCAAATTGTGATTTCATAAGTTCATCACAATTCACACATACTATCACCAACTCAACATATTTCTCAACACATTCTACCTTTTGCTGACTTGATACGGCGCGGATAGCGGGCACCCAATTCTTAACACCTTCCACCTTTTGCCGGCTATTATACAACGGGAAGTGAACTACCAAAAACCAATTTCAACTTTAAAAAAAAAAAAAAATCATTTTTTTTCCACTTTTGTCGGCTATTATACGGCGGGACTGTGTGGACACCCAAAAATATTTTTCCCACATTCGTCCAGCGATAAGCCTAGACAGGGCATTTGGGCACCTTTAATTCAAAACCACCCCCCACATTTGCCGTCTATTATACGGCAGGATTGTATGGACGCCCAAAAACCCTTTTCAACTCCTCGCGCAGGTACCAACACAACACCACCCAACACAACTCAACCCAAACTCAACATAACCTAACACAACTCAACTCAACTCAACACAACTCAACATGATTCAACACAATTCAACATAATTCAATATAATTCAACATTATTCAACACAATTCAATTCAACATTATCCAAGGTGAACTCTTAAATCTCCATTTCATCATTTCATCCCAAGGCTCATGTCATCCATACCATTACTAATTCTTACCCCCAAATTTGGTTTCATATTATAACATGATTTATAAGGCCCACAACAAGAGTTCAATCGAAAATTTGACATAATTTCCAAACACTTTCAAAATTCAATTAAACTTGTATATGTGTAATTCAATACCTCAATTTCATGATTCTACTTTTATTTTAGGCAAAACCATTAATTGTCTTCATGTACCAAGCTAAAGTTTTAAGAGAAATTAAAGCTCTTCACCCAAACACTTTTTATTCCAATTCTTCTATTAATTATACACCCAATTTCATAAGCCCATAATCATAATCCAAAAATTAAACCCCAAAATTTCAAACCCTAAACCCTCAAT